TATCCGTTTGAAGCAAGCCTGGGCATTAACGAGTTAATAAGTCAAAAGTTAAGTTTATTTAACTTATTAAATTAACTCATTTCCTTACAGATTAACTTGAAATGAACGTGTTATTTTTACATTTATGCAATTAAGTTAATTTTGATTTTAAGACCAGAAAAATATTTTTGTAAAATACCGCATTCGATAACAAGTTCATGAAATTTAGAAAAATATAAAAATAAAAATGTCGAAGAATTTTTAGATGAGTCTATAATATTTATCTTAGTATTAAATAATAATAGGGGTCCCACCGATCTCGGGAAAAGTACTCAGCCGTCTTAAGACTATTGAGTAAAAATAGCCATGTCACCCATGAATTACATGTAAATCTACATTACAAAAATAAGTACATATTATCATTATCTAAATAATTCTTAATAATAATTGTACTCTTTTATTATTAGAATTATTCCATAATCTATGATATTATTAAATATTATTAAATAAATTAATTAAATACATATTTTATAACTAAACTATTTTAATGATCTTTATTGTGTATTTGGATAATCTATAAATACTTTATAATTAAATGCAATGTTTATGGGTAGGTATAAAATGAACCGGTTTATATATATTGTCTTATATTTCAAACCGCTTTTTGAAAATGTTCATAGTATTATAGTATTATTAGTATTATGTAGTATTAATGTTCATAGTATTATAGTATTATAGTATTATTAGTATTTATAGTACGAACAAGAAATAATAAATTGTGTAATAGAATTAAAAAACGGATCTTCACCCGAAATTGATGGCATAACGGTTGAAATACTAAAAGAAAATATATCTCCTTGTTTTTTCCATAAAGTATATATTTTATCTTTGTCTTTCATAATCAGTTATACCTGATGTATTTAAATTATCCATAATAACACCAATCTATAAAAAAGGAAATTCTAATTCAATAAATAATTTTTGGCCCATATCTGTAATCTCTAATATAGCAAAAATATTTGAGAAAATAATTAAAAAACAATTAGTTACTTATTTAGAAAATAACAATCTTTTACATTTTTTTCAATATGATTTTCGTCCGGCAAAGGAACTGATCAAGCAATAGCAAAACTAACTAATTTTATTTACAAATCTTTAGTTTATCTAGATCTAGCTAAAGCCTTTGATACAATAGTATCAACAATATCACAACATTTTTATAACTAAATTAAACCAAATAGGCATTTTTGGTGATAATCTAAAATTATTTTCTTCATATTTAACTAACAGAAAAATAAATAAATACTTCAAGTCCTTTTAAACAAATTAAATGTGGAGTCCCTCAAGGTACTGTTATTTCACCAATTTTCTTTAATATACAAATAAATAGAATCCATGAACTTCCCCTTAAAAGTCAAATCATCTGTTATGCGGATGATACTGTAATGCTATGTGAAGCAGACTCATGGGATGAAATATTTGAATTAATAAGTAGAGATCAAAATTAATAAATCAATGGCTGCTCCAAAATAATCTATTTCTTAGTTTTGAGAAAACTCACGTCATTCTTCATGCTTTGACCGAAAATTCAATACCAACAAAAAAATGTATAAACATTCATAATACATTATGCAATATACCAATAGATTGTTCTTGTGAAACAATTGTTATATCTAACTCTGTTAAATACTTAGGAGTTGAAATCTGTAATAAAATGAGGTGGAAAGACCAAATAAATATTCTAAGTAAAAAAGTAAGAAAAAAGATTTATATATTTAGAGATTTGTGTAACATATTAGATTCGACTAAATTGTAGCAAGTTTATTTAACATTAGTAGAATCGGTCATTAACTATGGTATATTTGATTGGGGTAATACGTTCAATAATGTACTAAAAGAATTACAAATCTGTCAAAATCAAATATTGAAAGTGATCTTTAATAAAACACTAAGATACCATACCGAAAATCTTTATAAAGAATTAAAACTACTTCTTATACAAAAACTATATTATAAAACGATCGTTATATTCCTAATATATACCGTATAACATTAATACCAGGTATGCTAAAAACAATTTTTTAATAAATTGGTGGAATAAAACTATTTCAGGTAGACATTTTCAAATAATAGGTACCAAAATAATAAATAAAATTCCTTCTGATATCTTAAATCTTCCACTCAGTTTATTTAAAAAAAAAATTGTTCAATAGTTATTAGATTTAGATGATTCAATATGATAATAGTAGGTAAATTGTTTTAATTTATATTTGTAACATGTATTAATGTAAGAACTCCTGGACCCCCACACGAGTTATCTCAGTGGGGCCCAGTATTCATTGTATGAATTAAAAATTAAATAAATAAAATAAAAATAAATAAATTATTAAATAAGAGAAGAAACTCAAAGCTGATCAACATTTTTTTAGATGATCCTTTTATTGAGATTCAATTGGTATTTTTATTAACTTGTCCTTTGTATTGTTTAGATTTTAGTAAATTTAAATAATATATATTTATTTTAATGTTTTATATCTACTGTATACATTTATTGCCTGTATAATTTTATAGTTACACTTTCAGCTGCAGTAATTATTTTTAGTTTTCATACTCTTATTGAACATTAAAAAGAATACTTTTTTTTTAATTATATTTATCATATGTGATTTGAATGAAAAATTAATAAAAAAACCATACATAAATTAATATAAATTTGACATTTGAGTGCATTAAAATAATCCCAATGAAGATATATATATATATATATATATATATATATATTTCTCTATTCTAATTAGAGTCTAATAAGATTTTTCTGAATTTTCATTATCGTTAATGTTAAATAAAATCTGTTGTTAATCGTCATTATATATATATCACTTATATCTGTGTTTAATGTACATATATTTTTTTTTGTAATTAACTTAACTTATTAATTGAAGTTAACGATATTTTTTAACTTAATTTTTAATTTAATTGATGTAATTCTCATGTGAATTAACTTAACCGAGATAAAAAATAACATTAACTTACCCAGCCTTGGTTTGATGTATATATGTATTATATGACGCATGTATCGTAAACGTGTATAATGTATATTTAATTTGTGTACAACGTTTTTCTTCGTTAGCAATCCCAAGGCCTTAAGTAAAGCATTGAATTTCGTCCTGGTCTGCTTGAGTAGTAGACCACAATCAAAATTGTTCGATTTCGGAATAAGAGCACTGAACCGGTTCCACAATAGCTTGAAAAATCGCGGAGAATTTTTCAAAAATGTAGCAGCCATTGCGCATTTCGGAAAATTCCCCTCGAATTTAATATCGGTAAGTCTCATTCGAATAACGTGAACACTAATCGGCAACCCTGCATATACCGTGCACACGTTCTACGTGTACAGTTGTATTTACCTGCGGTCGCGGAATAAATCATAATTTAATAACAACGAACATTTTGCAGTCTATTGCGGAATACCGGGAATGTACGACGGAACGCGTGAAAGAAGAAGTTACCAATAGCCAACAGTCACCCGTGATCTGCACCCCGACGACAACGTTGGACCCAGACACGAGGTTGGTCGATCAAGTAAAATGTGATTTTGAAAAGCTCGACCGGACTGAAAACGGAAAAAATAGGATTAGGTCGATCATTAACAATTTGTATGTGAACAAAATACGTGAAAAGGTTAGTCACGGTTTGTTCGTACCGCTCATGAACACGTTGTGATCCACGCACTACGAGAATCGTCTGAATTCGCAACACACTTACGTTTCTTTACCGGCGTATCCCGTCCGCGTAGTGTTTCCGCTTTAGGCGATTTTCAGTGTGCGCACATTGCGACCGTGCGCCCTGTTTATGATTTATCATTTCATTCCGTTTCAGAGTGACGAGATAAAAGCCATAATGGGGGAAGAACTCGTTCAGTGGTTCGCGGCTTATTTGGTCGAACACCGTATACAGTTTGAATTTAATTTACATTCATTGTATTTGGACCTGCTGGACCAAATTGGCAACGAGCAACTGAACGTCCTTATCATGGAAAAAACGACGGAGAACATCAGAGTTAGTATCGCGGTTTATCATGGGCGAACAGGGAAAAAAACAGCTTAAAAAATATTACGTTTTATCATTTCAGTCGCTATTGGATAACAACACTCATAATAATAAAGCTTTGCTCAAAAACCTTGGCCATTGGTTGGGTCTTATAACGTTGGCAAAAAATAAGCCTTTACCATTTGACAAAGGCTATCTAAAATCAATAATCTTGAAAGCGTCAGGAGTAGAAGAACTGATGTATACTGTTCCATTTGTCGCAAAAGTACTTGTGTCCTGTGCCAAAAGCCAAGTATGTTTATACATTTATTTCCTCGATTTTTTTACCGTTTATTATTATATTTTATGCAATCGGTAAATTTTTATTTACAATGAGCATACGCGATAATGATGTTTTTTTTTATTTTTGTTAAAATTACGATAGACTTTTGCACCGAAAAGTCCGTGGACTTTGAGTATTTTGAAAACCCTTGCGGATGTTCATAAATTACCGAACATAAAGTTAAATTTGATGTTTGAAGTAGAAGTACTTTGTAAATCATTGAACATTCATCTTGAGGTGAGTTTTTTCTTATAGTAAAGTAAAATTTTGACAGTGTTAACGTTGAGAAAAAGCAACAGCATATTATAAAAAGGCTTTATATTTTTAATACCATTTGAACATTATTTTACAATATATTTTTGAAATTTTATGTCTCGTTCGATAACACTTCAAATTATACACGTATTTCAAACGATAAATTTTTATTAATTTGTGAAAAATGAATATTATTGTTACAAGATAAAAAGTATTATGGTATTCACTTGTATGTTTAGTCGATGTAGTTTTGTTTGAAATAGTCTTATATTCTTATAAACCTGACGACTTACCGTGTTTCGCACGGAACACACTTTGACACTGGAAGATAAAAATCGGTCCAATAGTTTTTGAGTCTAATAATCTCAAATATATAAACACCATCCGTTTATAAATATTTACTAGCTGATTTACCCATCTTCGCCCGTGCTGGTTTTTAATTATTTTTAATAATTGTTTTTATTATTTTATAATACGAAAATTTATCATTTTTACTCAACTAAATACTATCAAATATAAATATTACCTATCAAAATCGGTTAAATAGATACAGATTTCATTGAGGACAAACCGTCGAACCTATAATTTTTATGTATAAGTATTAATATATAATATATAAAAAATATATAATTTCGGACTTTTACAATCATTGTTTGTTAATTCTAAGATTTACTAAAACTCGTTGGTAAAAGCCCGAACTGCTAAAATCATTCGGGGTTTAACCAAGCAATAATATATGTTCTAGGTTTTACCGGTATTCGTACTATTACCATAACATAGTAACATATATATTAGAATTATCTGAAATTATGATATTAAAATAGTACGAAAATGTATAATAGCTTTAATACTTTATAACAATTAGTGCAGACTATCAAAAATATCCCTGTACGGCATCGAGTACGGTACAATGCCCAACATTATACATAAGTGAGGGGTCCTCGTCAGCATTGATGTTTAGTGTTCACTATGCTATTGAATATAGTTGCCTTCACAGTATTTTACTCTGAAACAACTGTTAGTGCTTAAGATTTCGGGTCTCCTGGATACGCTACTGATACTATACTATATGGCTGCATACAAAATGTGTCCAGAAATCCCTTTTTCCACACGAACTGCGTCCCGACGGTATTTAATCTCTAATCTAATATTGCGTCTCGGAAATATTTCACCACTATACACTATTCCAATAATATTTTCCTTCCCATAATTTGAATTAATTAGTTATGTCCCATGGTTAAGTTTATTGTTGTGTTCTTCTACGGTTTTCTTTTTCGACTGTTAGTGTTTGTCTATCGACTAATTCAGCACCATCTTGAGTATGATTTAAAACATTAGTACTTTCTATAATGTAATTTATATAATTTAATTCGATGTGTGACTTAAGAATTTTTCTTTTTTTTTTTACAGAGACTTCAAAATTGAATATGATTTTTCAACGTTTCACGTGTGTTAACGGCATTTTTAAGTCCGTATAAATTTATTATTAAAATATAATGTTAATTAATTCGAAGAAAAATAAAATAAACGTGTTAATATAGTGTACCACATAAATATTATAATTATTATAATTTAATTTGTGAAACAACTGTTCATTACAGATAGCAATCTGCCATTTATAGTTATAATATTCAAATAATACCTGTTCAAAGTTAAGTTTACCTCCAATTCATAAGAAATTGAAGTTTTAATAATTATTTAATATCCATATGTACTAAAATAATTATATCAACAAATAATTATATTTACAAAGTATTTAAAAAACTATAGACATATAAATTATAAGAATAATTAATAATCATTTCACAGAATTATTTTATTGTTTTTTTCTAAACATTATATATAATAAGGCTTAATATAATTTAAAGTATTTAAATAAATATAATAATTTCTCATAAATTAAACAATTAAAATTAATTTCATGAAAATCTATTTACTGTATGAACACTGAATACTTTATAAAAATTGTCCGTAATTTAGTTTCATTCGTGGAAAAATTATTGAGAATTTAAAAATTTACCTTTATTCAGTTTCAAATAAAATACATTTCTGAACTGTAAAGCAGCTGAATAAAGAAAATTAATGAGAGTCTTGAGCTACCGGTCTAAAATATATATATACTTACCTATCAAATCTAATAAAAAAATCATTAAAAATAATTTGTGTCTACACAACTAGTATTATATTGATAACCAATATATATGTATTATTATAGGCTGCATCCGAGTTGCGGTTAGAGACGATTTTTGAGATAAGGACATATAACAGTTGCGTTCACGCGAATTGTAGGTAATATCCTAGTTGCGGTCATATAACTATTACTTATCTGTAAAGTTTGTAAATAAAACAAATACAATTGTACAGTGGTGTATATATAACTTTTGTATGAGGGAGATCAATTGCAAACAAATTATTATGAAAAAAAAATTCCTAAACCGAAGGACTTGCACATTCAAAATAATAAATTATAAAATATACATTGAATGTATCAAAATAATAATTTACAATAAGTCCTTGAAATATTTTTTTGTTTCCTTATAATTTCCTTACATTAAGAATACTATTTTATACAATTTTTAAAAGACCTATGGGGGGATTTGACCTCCCACATCGCCCCTTGTATACGCCCCTGCAATAGTAGTATAATCACGAACTAGATGATCACCAATCAATGGTACGGCAAAAGGTCAGTTACAGTGTTAAACGTAAAGCAGTGGAGCAATTGAGCGAGCATCCCTCCAAATTTTTTTATTCTGAAATTGCACGTACAATACTCAGTGTACTGGGGTCAAAATTGCATTATATTGATTAGAAAAAATATACACACTGCAAGAATGAATGTTCACCCGAAATTGCCGTGTGACTTTTCACAATTACTACTGTGATTTCAAACCTACACAATAAACATAGTGTAGACAGCCCTAAGCCCTAAGCCTGTTTATAAAATGGAAAGGAAAATGTTGAAACTTTTTTTTAAATAAAATAGCATGGTATATACCATATATACTAGATATATATTTTGAGTGACCGCAACTAGTATGTAACATTTTTTGTTGGGTGACCGCAACTAGTTTACAACGTTATTATACAGGTATACCTGTATATTTCATTATACTATAACTAACATATATTACTTACTGTATTTTTTTAAAATTTTATTGGGTAGCATTTATTTTTTGTAATTCCAATTGTAACATGAATTTATATAAAGCTGCATATGCATGAATTTCCAATTGCACATACTCACATCATATTCATCCGACTAAAATTTTAACATTTTTATCAAAACTGAATAAAATATATCTTGAATATTTATTATTCAAGTAAGTACAATAGGAACATTAAGATTAAGAAATATAATGGAACATTATTATATTATAAAAATACACAAGTATCAAGCAGGTATAAAATTTAAAATCTATATTATTTGGTTAATAAATTATAGAAATGTGAAGATTCTAATATAATTAACTAAACCAAAATAATATTGATAACTGAAAAATATCTTAAAACTCAATAAATTTGACATTAATCATTCAATATCAATAATTTTCTTGAGTACATATCCCATTGACTTAACTATTGTTTTTAAAATCCAAATAAGTTAAAATTTATTTATTTTTTTTTAATAAACATTCCTTTAGTACTTGTAGAGGGGTATCAGAGACAAGGACTGTAACCGAACCGAAAATAACCGGTTATAAAACCGGGAGCCTTGTGTTAGTTGTGAACCGAAACCTCAATTGAAACCATTTTTTTCAAGTGTTAAAAAAACCTAACCAAAAACGGAACCTAATTTTTAAAGTTTGATTTATTTCGGTTTATTTTGGTTATAATTTTTTATTTGTAAGAAAATTTATTAAAGAAATTATACTATTTGTTTGACGTTTACAGTATTATTTATTATTTAATTTATATTTTCCAAGAATATTTTACAGTGTGCATAATGGAAAATATTACAATTATATTAATTTCCTGCAATTCAGTCTATACGAACTATTTTTCAAAGAGTTAAAAGAAATGAAGTACCTATATAATTAATAATATATTAATAATTGATTATGGCTCATAAACTGTAATATAGCTAGGCATTACCGAGTACTACTGCGTTTTACCGTTTGTTTCTTGATAAACGGATTTCAATTAATTTATTGTTCTGGTGTTACTAACAAATGTGAATGCGGAGTAGATGCGGAAAATAATTCCGAACACCATAGGCTAATAAAACGTAAATTAATAAGAAAAGTCACTTACTGCGTTTTACGATTATACATCCGTAAATGCGGCATTGTGCGCATAAACAGTATCTATACACGTGCGTCGTCAGAACTTGGAACAATTAACATATTTCGTAAATCAGATAAAAACACACGACAATTATACAATTACACAGCATATACAACCAGCGAAACGTGATGAAACGCAACGATTAAACGAATTTTATTTATTTGTGTTATTGCATTATTATGTTACGGCCGATTGGAAGTATTAAAAAAGAAAAAAAAGTACAAGGTTATATCAGCAGCGGTAAACGTTACCAATTGTATGATGACGTTTTAATAAAAGCGTGCACGTGTATACAATTAAAAGGGGGGAAAAAAAGAGTCAAATACATAATCTGTCTTCCGTTTGTATGAATTATTTTTATCGTTACGTACTTGGATACAAATTGTCTATTTCTTTTCTTTGTCTAGATTATAATAATATAATAGATTATAACCCTTTATTTTAAATTGTAATTAGTGAGGTGCCCACCAAACGTTTTGTGTGATAAAAATTACCGATGTCTTTATCTATTTACAATTAGATGTAACAAGCTGTTATTACTAACAGCCAAAAGGCGTTACGAGTGTTTTCATACGGGGCTTCGTAAATCCTAAGAGCCTACTATTATAATATTATAATTATCCTAGGCCCTGTATACGATTAATGAAACGACTCGGTGTTGCGCTCCTATTCTCTGCAGGGCGTTTACAGTTGGGTCATTTTAGTTAGACCATTTAGGTCATTTAGACCATAACGCAGTTCGGTGAACGGCTCTAGTTTGGTTTTTTGGTCCGTTAACAGTTGAATAGCTTAAAAACTGGCTCTCCGTAGTAACTAAATCCCTAACTTATAGAACAACATCGTAACATACAATGTTTTACCGATGACGTACTATATTTTATAACCTGTACAACTATAACGAGTTACGTTCGGCATCGCGCAACTCTAGTACGCAATTATCTTTTCGAATTGACTTTAAATAGATTTTTCAATGCAAACAGTAAAAGAAAGATTTTTTTTTTCTCTAACAATTTATTTCACGTTTTACCGAATGTTATATTGTTTATGGTTGCGTATATAATACATTCGCCGTCCTACCGTCTGTATGTGTAGGTTAGTGTTTGTTATATCTGTGTAGAACTGTCTAAAAACAGCTCTAATTTATTACGACTTTCGAATGTTTCTGCGCGATAATGTTGTTTTATATTAAAACGCGCTGTTTTCTTGTACCTTCGGATCCATTTTGCGAGAAATGTACTTTTATGTATTTAAAATAACGATAATTGGTCTTTATAAATGGCATATTTACTTTGTCGAAACTCATAACGGAAGAACTACAATACTGTGTACACACGTACATCTTTATTTGCAGAAGAACGGCTTGGAATGACTCGATATACAGCATTTGCTATACGTAAATATTAAAAATTATTATTATTATTATTATTATTATTATTATTATTATTATTATTATTATAGTAATAGATATTTGTTAGCGACAAAATGTATACAATTTTTATTAAATGAAAAATATCGAAATTATTAAATTTTCAAAAAACTTTTTCTTGAAATACATATAGATCATGAAAATTTGCTATTTAAAAATTGTAAAATTAAATATTAAATTAAAAAAAAAAAAAATTATTTCGAGCACTCAAACGTAAGTTTTTTTTTTTTCTATAGAATTTAATATAGACTATACAAAACACATAGCGAGATCACTAAAATCTCCGAAACACGCAACGCTGGATGCAAATAATTCGAAAAGCAAATTACATTACTTCGCAGTACCTAACTCAAAGTGATGTAAAATTACCATCGCCATGAATTGCATTGATAACCAGGCCGCTACAATTGAGTTTTTGAGTAGGGAAACGTTAATTTCGAGGAAATAAGTACTTATATAATATGGTATGTTAGTTTATATATTGTATTATATTATATGAGTTTATAAAATATTATTATATTATGCGTCTAAAATAAATTGTTGAAAGTTACCAGAGTAGTAAAAATAAGAAATAGAAAAACGAAGGATTCCCTAAGAGATAGCATTTTTTCCAGAGACTTTCCACATGGTATATATATATATATATATATATATATATATATATATATATAGTGCTGATGCTGTACATAAATATTACCTTTCTATATCTTATGTATAACATGTATATACATCGGGAGCAAAAGATTTTTCCTATTTCCCGGGT